CTGGGCATGCAGGTGCCCCGTGTCCCCCGCCTGGCCAGGGGCTGGTTCTCCTGGGCCCTCGCGACACCCAGGACGGTGTGCGGGGAGTGGTCGGGGTGGGGGGGGAGCTGCACCAAGCAGTGCGGGCTAAGGAGGCGTTTGTCCGGGTTGGTTTGTCTCGGGTCTCTGGAGGGACAGGTGACAGGAGCAGGTGGTGCCGTAGGCTGGTGTGCCGTCCTGGAGAGAAGCACTCTTGGAGGGGTCTCCCCAGCCCTGTCCGCTCGGCAGGAGGGCGCTGTCTTCTGTGTTTGTGAGGAAAGATCTGGCTGTGTCCCGGCCCGGGGCCTGGGGCCTGGAACTGCCAAGGGTGGTTGGTGCCTCCAGGCATTATGAGAAGCCAGGGCGCCCCCAGCCCTTCATCTTTCCAGATCCTCCCACAGGATGGGCCCCTTCCCTGAACCAGCCTCTGCTCTCCTGCCGGGCTCCCACGGAAGACACACCTCTCCCCGTCCCCAAACCTGTCCTGCTTCTGTTTCTTTTCTGTAAAGTGAGCCGGTCTTTGGGGACCAATACCCATTGTGCACCCTGGATTCTTTACTCTCCTCCCAACTGCTGAGACACCGCTCTACACACTCCCCTACGCGCCGCATCGGGTCCTGAGATGCTGTGAGCGGATGCCCGTGAGCACATACGGGCGGTGAGAGAGGGGAAGGAAGGTCTGTCCTTGTCCTCAGGCTGGTAATCACGTCCCACGACAGGAGCTCTCCAGAGGCCACGGGCCAACGTCCTCACCTGCTCTCTCCCGGTCGCCTCGGGCAGATCTCACCTCACTCTGCCACTCGGGCTGCAGGCCCTGAGCACCCTCCGCTCCTCCGCCAGGTCCGCGCGCGCGCAGTCCAGGCTGCTGCTTCTCTCTTGCCTTGACCATTTCGGGAGCTTCCCATATGGTCTCCCTGCTTCGACCTCGGGCCCTGCACCCGTTCCACACCGAGCTCAGGGTGCTCTGAGACATGTCACATCACGTCCCTCAGTGGCTTCCAGACCGACTTCGATTACACTTCACAGCCCACGAGGCTGTGGGGTCTGAGCTGCTACCCCTTCATCATCTTTCATTCCTTCTACCTAGAGGTCTCTTCTCCCAAATTATGGTTCGTGACTGGTCTTTCTTCCTCTGTCAGTGCCTCAGACATTCCCTCCCCACGTCATCCTCACAGCACTCGGCTCCACAGCAGCAGCTGAAGTAGCTGGCGTGGCCCCGGGCCTTGCCGAGTGCCCGGCACTGCATGCCTCCTGGGACCTTCTCGCGGCCCCATCGGTTTGAATGGGATAGTTTGACTTCAGAGTCTGCTCCTAGCTGCACTGTCTGCACTGCCTCCCGCACAGCATTGTGGGAAATAGACGAAAAACAAGCCCAGGGCCTAAAACATTTATAGTGCTTTGGAGGGAGCCTGGGGCTGAGAGGGGGGCATTGTCTACGCAGTACTTTTCAGGCTTTAATGTGCATACACAGCACCTGGGGAGCTGATTAAAATGCGGATTCCCTCTAAGAGCCCTGTCAGCTATTAGAAGAGACGCAGCCGGAGGAGGGTGCTGGGGGCCAGGGGCCTCCTCCCTGGCGGTTCCGGAGGAGGCTGGAGCTCTGCGTGCCAACCTTGCCAGCACAGGCCCCAGGAGCACAGGCCTCTGGGGCTCTGTCTGCTCCCCTGGGCTCCCTGCTCTACCCTTGACACTTCATGTGCAGCTCTCAGATGTGTGGCTCCCTTCCGAGCAGATCTGTAGGTACACGTGCTGTACTCCAGGGGTGCCGTGTTCAGCACTGCAGTTCTGGGCCAGGCTCCTCCATGCACATCACCACTCTGCACAGCAGCCTGGAGTGGCTTCTTAGTGTGTAGTTGAAGAACAGCGACTCATCTATACGTATAAAAGGCTAATACGCTGTGTCCCTCCTACTGTCTGACCAGTAGCTATGACGCGCACTGACCACCAGGGAGCTGCTGAGCTGCAGTGACTTGGCAGCAGCGGTTCTTGGGTGACGAACCCCAAAACCAGAGAGGTGGGAGCCCGATTCCTCGTGGGCCCACCTGATTCCTTGCGGGGCCGTGCGATTCCACCTTCGGCTGTGGGTTATGTTGTTGCTGGGGCACTGTCGGCCCAGAATTTGATTTATTGCTCACTTGCGTTTGCGTTCCACACCCTGTACTACAGCAACTTTGCAGAGTGCCCTCTCGCACTCCTGGACCCTCGGGGGATGTTGGAGAGCCGTTTCAGCCTGATCCCTACAGGCCAGGCCGAGGGACCACAGACGGGACCACAGACGCCATGGGGGGAGGTTGGCTCCAGGGCATGTCCAGCCCATCTCACCCAGTCCCGCCCTGCGGGCCACCTTCTAATTAATTTCAACGTGCACAAATCTGTGCACCGGGTCACTAGTTTTTAATATTTGTCCAGAATGTCCTGGCTTTTCACGTGGTAAAGTCAGGGTGTAGACGCAGTCCTGTGGGTTCCAAAGCCTGGACCCTGGCTTCTCGGTGTAAGAGCATTCACTAATGTGGGCCACACGGAGGCTGGAGCTCGGTGGGTAACTGAAGGTGTGGCTGGCCTGGAAGGGCTTTGCAGAGGAACGAAGTTGCCCTGGCTCAGCAGGCGGGCGGGCACTGGGTGGGACAGGGAAGGTCTCAGTGCAGGAGCCAGGCTTGGGCTGAGTCTGGAGAAAGGCAGCGTGCCGATCGGGGACAGTGATGTAGAGGAAGGTGAGGCTGTTCTTTCCAGTTTCTCAGACGGCACATGGCCTGTGACCTTGGGGTTGTGCTGCTTCTTGTGGAGTTGGGAGGGGCGATTTCAGGAGACCGTAGCGGGAGGGCTGTGGCTGAAGTCTGGCCCCACTTGCTCACACTTCCCGGGAACAGGCGAGGCTGAGGGATGCCCTGCGGCCGCGAGGGTCTGGGAGCAGCGAGGCCAGGCTCTGACTGTGCCTGTGCGTTTGATGACTGGCCGGGAGAGGACAGGGAGTGGGGGAAGGAGCCTGTGAATTGAGACCAGGGGAGGGTGAGCAGGAGGACAGTGGCCCACAGTCCCTTCACCCGGGGTTTTGAGAACCTTACGCAGCTGTTCAGGGCTGGGTGCTGTGCGGATTCCCGGAAATCCAGGTCCTGGTCACGGGCACAGACGTGAACCCCTGCGTGGCTGGGAGATGAGTGGGGAGAATGGAAGGGGCTGAGGGTGGCCTGGTCCTCTGCAGGTGGTGGTCAGGGCGACTTCAGGGGAGCCGGTCAAGCCAGCTTCGAAGCTAGATTTTGAATTTAAAGAGTGTGTGGAGTTTTCTGTAGACTGAGCAGGCGGGGCTTCCCCATGGCGGTGAGAGGCTGGGGAGCAGCCCCGGGAAGTCGGAGCCCTCCTGGGGGAGAGGGGCCTGTGAGGTGTCATCACCCAGGACTGATGAGGGCTCCCCAGCATGGATGTCGGCGTCTGAGTGGAGTGAGAAGGGATGGCGGGGCAGGGTGTCAGGTGGGGGGGAGGGCGGGGAAGGAGGGCATGTGTGTGTGGGGGGGGAGGGGACCCACGCTGGTGAGGAGAGTCAAAGGCCAGGCACTGGGCAGACTAGACATGACGCCGGGTCCTGCACGGGCCCTGTGCCCGGAAGGAGCTTGTTAGGGCGACTGGCGAAACCAGCGGGAACAGAGGTTTCGGTGCAGCTTTTAAATTTCCTAATTTTGCTCGTGATGTGGTTATGCAGGAGCATGTCCTTGTTGGTAAGAAAACCAGACAGAATCATTTGGAGGTGATGTTGCTTGAGGTTGCAGCGTAGTTTC